ACTTGTTTAGTCGGCTGAGGATCAATTTTTCGAACAGCTTGCTCAGCGCTGAGAGCAGGCTAATCGGTCTGTAGCTTGACGGTAGTGAAGGGTCTTTCCCAGGTTTGCGGATCGGGATGATTTTTGCCACCTTCCAGATGCTTGGAAAGTAGTGCAGCTCCAAGCATCTGTTGAAACTCGCAGCTAGCAGCGAGTGCACCCTCGGGCTGAGATTTTTCAACGCTAGGTTGAAAATTCCGTCAAACCCGGGAGCCTTCATGTTCTTACTGTATTTCAGCGCTGAGCAAATTTGTTCCTCTGTAATCCGTTCTTCTGGAGGGACGGCACAAGGGGAGGCATCTAACGTCAGGACGCACTGCGCAACCTGGTTCTCGAGTGGACTTGGGATTTTAGAGCCAAGCAAATGCGACTGGGCAATGTGCTCCCCAATCGCATTGGCCTTCTCTTCGTTGGTGATAAGCCGTTCGTCATTGACTCTAAGTGGTGGAATGGGCTTGGGGTGAGACTTCAGCACCTTGGCAACCTTCCAGAATGGTCTGGAACGGTCGTCCAGGTTCTGAACGAGCCGCCCGAAACTCTCGTTCCGGATTGAGACCATTCTGGAAGCGATCTGCCGATTCAGATCGACCATTTCGTATTTACGCTGCAGATCCCCAGTCCGCTGAAACTGGCGTCTACGAACATTTCTGAGCCGAATCAAGAGTTTGGTGTGGGAATCAATTGCTTGAAACTTACCCCTCACAGGAACTCGTCGAACGCACTCTTCGTCAGCCACGGATATGGCTTGATGGAGACCCTCCAGGGCCCGGTCGATGTCATCCACTGTGTCGAGCGGTGGGTTGTCGTCGATGTGGCGGTCGACCACGCGTCGAAACTGGACCCAGTTGACTCGATGGTAGTCCTTCCGCTGGCACGGTGCAGGGGCCACGTTGTAGCCCAGCTCGGTCAGCACCGGTTGGTGGTCCGAACTCAGCTCGTTGACGGCAACCGGCTTGGCTAATCTGGTGTTTGCCAAGAACAGGTCCAGCGTCGATGGGTTGCCCGTCGGTGATGTGAAGGTTGGTTCGTCCGGAAACCAGACGGAATAGAGACCATGCTGGGAATGGTCGAATAGCAGGCGGCCGTTCTGGTTCTGCTGGTAGTTCCGCCAGGCCTCGTGCCGGGCGTTCAGGTCCCCTCCGATTACGAAGCGGGCATTGGTGCGGGTTATGATGGCAAGGTCGTTCTTGAACTGCTGTGCTGTACCATTGCTAACGGTACATTGCCGGGGACAGTAGGCGGCGATGAACCGGATGTTTCCGGTCGATGTTTCCACCTCTACGCCGACGGCCTCGATGATGGAAGTGCGGTAGTGGGGTAGGGTGCAGTACTTGATGCCTTTCTTGATGATGACCGCGACACCGCCCCCCCTGGAGCTGGTGCGATCAAGCCGGACAATGCTGTGGTCGGGCAGCCAGAAGCTGTCACCGGTCTTGAGGTGGGTCTCGGTGAGGAGGCCCACGTCGATGTCGTGCTTGCGGAGGAAGTCTGCAAGCTCAATGTTTTTCGCCCCTACGGAGCGAGCGTTCCAGTTGGCGATCTTTATGGGTTCACGGTCCATAATTAGCGACGAAGGAGATGATAGCTTGGAGCTGTTGTGTTCTTGTTGCGCAGGTGCGCTTGATGATGATGGCCTGGGCCAACAGTGTGACGATCTCATCCGTTGACAGCGGAGAATCGTCTGTAGCTTCACCGGTTGTACCGGCCAATCCCGGAGCAGGGGGATCCGTCGATGGGCCGGAGGCTTGACTAGGTACTGCAGCGGCAGCCGACTGGGCAGCAGCCAACTGTTGGTTGAGCGGGAGCGGCGCCAACACTGGAATTGGCCGTGGTTGGACCGGTGATAACGGAGGAAAGTTCTGCGCGTTGTTTTCCGGGACCTTCTTGCGACCGGGCTGGTTGTTGGACGAGGCCTTCTTCCGGATCTCGGCGTATTCGGCCCGCTTCGGACAGGCCTTACTCGTGGCCTTGTGGGCAGCACCGCAGTTGGCGCATGTGGGAGCGGCTTCCTCGATGCTGTCGCAGTCGTCGATCTTGTGGTTTTTGCCGCATTTGATGCAGCGGCTGGCCATGCGGCAGTTCCTGGTGCCGTGCCCGAACAATAGGCAGTTCGAGCACTGAGTGACGCCACGGTGGGTTGGCTTATACCGCTCCCACTTCACTACGATGTGGAACAGTGTGCGTGTCGTATGGAGATCCTTCACGGTTGTGGAGTTCTTCTGCAGATGGACCAAGTAGAGCTGGTCACGATACTTGATGGCCTTGCTGCGGGTCATCTTGTGGATTTCGACCGGCTTGAGGCCGTTCGCCTTAATCTCGTCCATTAAGGTGGTGGTGTCCATGTCGTGGAGCCCGCGCAGCACCACTTTCAGCGGCTTGGTGGCCTCGACGTCGTGGGAGAAGTACTCCAGCTTCATCCTGTCCAAGAGGGCCTGGACTGCGTTGTAGTGATTTTCGGCCGAGACCATCAGTTTGTAGCCTTCCGTGCACCGTTGAATGGTGCAGCGAAGGCCCTGCTTAATGTAGAAATCCAGCTGCTCCCATAGCCCGGGAGGGAAGCCCTTCACATAGAAGGGTGGCAACTTAACTTTTTTAGGCACCGTCTCAGGGTCCGACTGCGGCTGGGCTCCGTTCTGCAGGGCGGAGAACGGATTGTTGCTCAGCAGCTTTTTTGCTGCCGATGCGGTGGCGCTGATGTCTTCAGGTCTGGGTCGTTTAGTTCCGGGAGGCCCCGGCTGCGGGTCCGCAACGCCTGTCGGGACGGGCAATGGGGTTTTCTTCTGCTTCTTCTGAGCTGGCTCGGTGGTCGCGCCGTCTCCTGGGAGAGTCTGTTTTCCCGGTAAGCCGGCACTCGCGTTACCGCGCGATTTCTTACCCATGGCTGGGTCAGCGAGAGCGTCACTATACAACGCGGAGCTAATTCGACTTGCGAACGAACGAACGAAACTAGAGAGAATTCAAATCGACTGAACTGCTCAACAGTCTGGCAGCGAATGAGAGCTAATGCCATACAGCAGCGCTCTTTTATATCTTTTCAGATTAAAGCAGAATAATGTGCAACCAAGTGTAAAAAAAGGTACAAAGACTCCTCCCATTATGAGTAGTTTGCTATCAAGTAGCGACACTGGCTCTTTTCCTTTTGTGTACACGGCGAATGAGAACGACCCAAATTTGAGTTTAGTTCACTCGCCAAAAGTACAGGAACTCAGCGATGAGTAAATTTGTCTCATGGTTTCCTGTGGAAAACTTAAAAAATCTGCCAGAAATGAGGAAATTGACGAAAATTTTATTCAATCCCGGAGTAGTACCAATAGACTGAGTGAATCCAATCTTTACTTTTCTCAAATTCGGGAATTTTTCCCTGGGAAATCCTGGAAAAACCTGTAAAACATGAGGCAAATTTACTCATCGCTGAGTTCCTGCACTTTATTTCTTATTTCTGAGATAACTAAACTCAAATTTGGGTCGTTCTCATTCGCCGTGATATCACCTTGAAAGATATCGGCGCCGGTGGTTAGCGTGATTTCCTCTCACCCCAGCAGGCCTGGGTCCAATCTCAGTCGGTGCCACCAGCATGTTCTAAGGTATAACATCTCTGATCACGCCTTCCTCCGGGAAGTAAAGCCGTTGGTCCCCGGTTGAGTTGATGGGTCGATTGGTAGGGTCCAGGTGTGGAAGCTGCCTACCTGGCGTCGGTAGCATTAATTGGAGCTCAGTACGGAAAACAAATCTCGCATCACTTTTCAATAGGTCCTATCTTCATAGATCGATTCTCTTCATCGACACTCTCTTTCGTAAATAATTCGGCTTCACAAATGTTTCCTACCGTCTTCGTCGAATTAGATGATAGATTGTTGCTTCTTCCATCGAAAATATCCGGCCGTGGCGATTAAAAATTGATCCAAATAATTTGTACCCCTGCTTCCAGTTTGATTACATGAGCAAAAATGCTCAAAAAAAGTGTGATCGTTGGTTCTGAATATGGACAAACAGGCAGATGAATTCTATTCCTACTCTTTACTGTAAATAATAAGCTTGGTGGCTCTGAAAAGAGCCGTTTTGTTGCCAAAGTTGGTGATGATTTAACCTCCGAAACCAAACAGAGTGCGTCTCTGTCAATTCAAAACGTAGATGGCATCCATGGCCGCTTACGCTTGGCGTGTTTAGTTTAGGTGACAGCATAACGGATCTCATTTTTCATGAACACCTTCAGCACACCTCGTAAATAAGACCGGAGATACGTCAGACACCGCCACGGCGAGCTAGACGACATATGGTGGTTATTATCTTGAAGAATTTGCGTTTGGTTCTGAATATGGCGATGAGTGTGCAAAATATTACGCAATTCCATCCTCCCTATTTGCACGCGCCCGAGGATCGGAGGCGAATGCCACTTCGACTTGTTTCGTCTACTTACTAATCTCTGACGACTGTGCTGGGGAAGCAGCATATGCATGTAGGTAATTGGTGGATTTTTTAGTTGATTCGATGCTTTTGGACAATGCTGGACATTTACCAGTTTTTCAATAGTTTCTTGCTGAAAATCAACATTCGAAAGCATTGTTATCGATGCGTAGCCATATTTCTGATCGATTAGTGATAAAATTATTGAAATTGGACCAGGGGCAGCTAAGTTATTAACGTTCAAAATCTTTCTTAATTTGTTACATGTTCTATTTTCGGTTTTCACAAAGTGTACCCCCATATAGAAATCAAAGACGTAGTCCTACGTCAAAAGAACTCAAGCTGTCAATCTTTGCTACGCAGCTATCAACGCGCGAACGTGGTTGTTTTTCTATTGAAAGTAAAAATAAAGATTTTAAGTATTTCGTAACTAATCGTTCTTTATTCCGTGTCCTATCGTTACATTGGTGACCCGCGACGTCGCGAATCTAAAAGTTTCGGTCCGATTTCACGGTTATTCGCCGATATTCGATCTCAAAGCCGAAACTAACCTCAAAATGCCGGACGATTACGGGAGCAACGCAGCAGCATCTGTCGCGGTAAAACTACCGGATTTTTGGAAAACTGATCCGGCTATGTGGTTTGCGCAATCGGAAGCGCAATTCCACCTTGCGAAAATCGTCAATGATGAAACCAAGTTTTACCACATGGCCAAAGTGGATCAATCGGTTATATGTCACATAGCCGATTTGGTAGCTGTTCCTCCAGCAGAAAATAAATACAAAACAGTGAAAGATCGCCTAATTGCTCGCTTCGCCCTGTCTGCTGAAAGCCGCTTCGAACAGCTGCTGGGGGCCCACGATCTTGGCGATATGCGCCCAACGCATCTGTTAGCAAAGATGAGAGAGTTGTCGACGGGTTGGGCGTGGATAACAATCTGCTCAAAATGATTTTCATTCAACGCCTCCCGGCAAACATTCGACCAATTCTCACATGCCACGATGGTACCATCGAGAAGTTGGCTGAAATGGCAGACAAGATCACCGACGCCTCCAACGGTCAGTCCTCCGCAGTTGCCATGGTGCACAACGAACCAACGTACAGCAACAGTGGTGAAAGGAAGCTAGCAGAGCAGATCGAACTTCTCACAGCGGAAATCCGACGCCTGAAGGCTCCCAACCCTGAGCGAGGCCGTTCGTTTTCGCGAAACCGAAGTGATTCTCGTTCGTCATCACGATCCGGACTGTGCTGGTACCATAGGAAATATGGAAACGATGCTCAGCGGTGCCGAGAACCGTGTTCATGGAGCTCAAAAAACTAGCATCCTCCCCACCATCATCGGCGGTGGTGGCCGGAGTGTCGGAAAGTCGCCGAATGGTAATTTTTGACAGGACGAACAATACACGTTTTCTAATCGACACTGGATCGGACGTCACAATATTGCCTGCCTCCAGGAGAGATCGATTGAACGGTACCGTTATACAACAGCTCCACGCAGCCAACGGAAGTAGAATTCGGACATTTGGAAAGAAATTTATTCCTGTTGACCTAGGATTGAGACGAAGATTCACCTGGAATTTCCTCGTTGCTGAAGTGACGATGCCAATAATCGGTGCTGATTTTTTGGCGCACTTCGGCATACTCGTCGATTTGAAAAACCAAAAACTGATAGATGGCCAGACAGGATTGAAGTCTTCTGGAGGTATGATGACTGCTGCTCTGCACAGTGTAACACTTGTTGGTGCCGATCATCCGTTCCACGATTTGTTAATGGAGTACCGGGAAATAACTCTGCCATCGACGCTTCGTTCTGTCACGCAGTGTGACGTAACCCATCACATAGTTACTCGTGGACCACCCGTGGCGTCTAAAGTTCGACGAATGCATCCGGACAAAGTTAAAGCTGCTAAGGAAGAGTTTCGCCTTATGTGTGACCTAGGAATATGCAGACCATCGAGTAGCAGTTGGGCAAGTCCTTTGCATTGTATGCTGAAAAAGAACGGAAAATGGCGTTTCGTTGGTGACTACCGTCGCTTAAATCATATCACTACACCTGACCGTTATCCGGTACCGCACATCCACGATTTGCTGCATTCGCTTCATGGTAAGTCCGTTTTCACAACTCTTGATCTGGAGCGAGCGTATCATCAGGTTGCGGTGGAGGAAGCAAACATTCCCAAAACGGCGGTCATCACATCGTTTGGCTTGTTTGAGTTCACCCGCATGCAGTTTGGGTTATGTAACGCAAGTCAGACGTGCCAGCGCTACATGAACCGAATCTTTGGTGATCTTGATTTCGTTGTTGTCTTTATAGATGACATATGCATCGCTTCTGAATCCCTTGCTCAACAACAGGAGCATCTACGCATAGTGTTTGACCGCCTACGCCAGCACGGACTCGTTCTAAATTTGGGTAAGAGCGTGTTTGCCCAAAAGGAAGTGGAATTTTTAGGATACCTGATCAGCAGTGATGGAGTGCGGCCGCTTCCGTCACGCGTCCAAGCCATTATGGACTACGAGAAACCGACAACAGTCAAGGAACTCCGTCGCTTTCTGGCACTCGCCAACGGCTACAAACGCTTCGTTCGTCATGCATCCGACATCCAAGCTGAGTTGCAGAAGCTTATTCCCGGGAACAGGAAAAACGACATACGTAAACTACAGTGGACAGATGCAGCTTCATCAAGCTTCGAGCGTTGTAAAAAATCATTAGCGGAGACAGCACTGCTTCACTATCCTGACTCGTCGAAACCATTAGCTCTGATGATCGATGCCTCAAATATTGCTGCGGGGGCTGTCTTGCAGCAGCTAAATGGTCAGAATTGGGAACCACTCGGATTTTATTCCGAAAAATTTTCGATGTCCCAAACGAAATACTCTACTTTTGGCCGTGAGCTGACTGCGATGAAAATGTCTGTGAAATATTTTCGGCACTTCCTTGAAGGACGCAACTTCACGATCTTCACTGACCATCGCCCACTAACATACGCGCTAACAACCGATTCCAGCTCTCGGCTACCGCATGAAGAACGATACCTACGTTTCATCTCGGAATTTACTACGGATATACAACATGTCAGTGGAAGTGAAAATTACGTCGCCTGCATTGTGGAGAGTATACTAGCGCCTACTTCGGTGGACTATGAAGAAATCGGACGAAAGCAGAAAAACGACGCGGAGCTTCAGCAGTTGATGCAATCCAAATCTACTTCGCTGAAATTTGAAGCAAAACGGATGAGTGGTTGTTCTCAACCGATCTACTGTGACGTCTCGACCGGAAAACCACGACCTTTCGTTCCAAGTACTCAATGGAGAACCATCATGGAATGCCTACACGGAATTTCTCACCCAGGAGCACGAGGCAGCAGGAAGTTAATCTCCGAGCGATTCGTTTGGCCAGCTATGAACCGTGAAATAAATGAGTTTGTCAAACACTGCGTCGACTGCCAACGGTCGAAGGTGCATCGACATACCGTCTCTCCGTTGGGAAAATTTGATCTACCGAAGGCTCGTTTCCAACACCTTCATATTGATCTGGTTGGTCCTTTGCCGCCGTCACAAGTATACCGCTACCTACTGACCATGATTGACCGTTTTACCAGATGGCCCGAAGCGGTTCCACTTGTCGATATTACTGCAGCATCTGTGGCTCAAGCACTGTACTCAACATGGATAGCAAGATTTGGAGTCCCAGAAAACCTGACAACCGACCAGGGACGGCAATTTGAGTCCGATCTCTTTCGGGAGTTAACGCGAATGTTAGGTGTTCACCATATTCGTACGAATGCCTATCACCCACAAGCGAACGGCATCGTAGAACGTTTTCACCGAACATTGAAAGCATCGATAATGTGTGTAAACTCTAAGAATTGGTACGACGAACTTCCAATGATTCTTCTGGGACTAAGGGTGGCATTTAGGGACGACCTGCAGTGCTCGGTTGCGGATATGGTTTACGGTCAGGCTTTACGGATTCCTGGTGAATTCTTTCAGTCTGCACCTGGAGATATCGACCGATCGGAGTTTGCCCAAATGCTTCACCGTACGTTCGACAATATAAAACCGCACGATACTAAACGTCATGGAGAACGACAAGTTTTTGTCAACGCCAATTTGAAAACATGTGCACATGTATTTGTACGAGTGGATTCTGTGAAGCGACCGTTGCAGCATCCTTATGAAGGTTATAAGACGAGATGATAAGTTCTTCGACGTACTTATTTCTGGAAAACAGCAGCGCATTTCAGTCGACCGAATAAAAGCGGCTTTCACTTGTAATCCGGATTTGCAGAAATATCCTCAAGATGATCATCGTACGAAAGTTACACAATCTGGACATCGCGTAAGATTTTTGGTGTAAGTGGAGGGGCCCTGTGGCATCGCCCGGCAACACTGGTCAGCCTGGCTTCCATCGGGTCGTCGTCGAAGAAAAAGAACTCAAGCTGTCAATCTTTGCTACGCAGCTATCAACGCGCGAACGTGGTTGTTTTTCTATTGAAAGTAAAAATAAAGATTTTAAGTATTTCGTAACTAATCGTTCTTTATTCCGTGTCCGATCGTTACAGACCCTTCAATATCGAGAAGTGAAGAGTAGGCTGTATTCACACTTTCAGAATAAACAATTTTACACCTTTGATTTTGGCACCAAGGGGAAATGGATGTAATGTCGGCCTAAATGCCCCTTATTTGGGCCCATGCATAAATTCAGCAATCGAATAAATTTTGAATAGCGACCAAAACTATCCATTAGTACCGTCCCAATGACGCGTTCATCTAGATAAAATTGATAAATAGCAGATTTTTAGCGATGGGCCCAATCTTAGATCCATAGGCCAACATTGGAGCAATTTTCCCTATTTAGTATAAGCATAACTGGTAGGCTAAATATGAATATTCATTTTAATTTGAGACTGTCAACAACTATTTCCCTTCGCTTAGATTGAGACGACACTACCCACCAGCTAATGTTCTAGTCGTAATAATAGCGCCACTTGATTTGTGAACCTCCTCGCCTTCACTACCTACCTACGCACAAGATCCAGCATCAGCAAAATTCCGTATGAAAACTATACCATCTCCATTGCATTGTTAAAGTACCACAAATCAATTCATGTTGAAAACTTCTCGCAGTGCTTCCACAGTTGTATGCAATCGTTCAGCAACTTGTATGCAATTTTTCCACCATGCTCATAGTGGTATAATTTTTTCGAATCCTATGCAAATCTTCCATTCAACGAACATCACCATGGAGACGCACGGTCAACTACGTCGAGTGAGCGACGACGAACAGGCTTTCACAGTTAAATCACATGCACCGTTTGCTTCAATCTTTCATCGTAATTTTTATTCCATAATTGTATCATTATCCACTATGTTGTTTGTTTTCATATGTATGTGTAAGTTTTTTTTATTGCAGCGAAGAGTTCGTAGAGTTAATTTGTTTCTTTTCTTTTCACTTACTTAACCGAGGATATGTATTTACAAGTATCTTGCATTTTTCGCGCTCAAGATATAGGAGGAGTTTTAATAATGTTTATACCGTTTTTTTTTGCATCACTTTGTATAACTACAGTAAGAACAACTTGTTACAAACTACTTGTGTTTCTTGCATTTTTTTTTCTGCGTTGATATCATTTTATTATTAAAACAACTTTCTTTTCTTTTTTTCTTGTAGTCAGTTTAATTAATTGATAGACTTTTGTTGTCACTTGCATGTTTGTTTTCTCATTTTAAGATCATCAATTGTTTATGATAATATTAATAATAATAATAATTTACAAGGCACATGTAGAAATACGCTCATCCACTCTATCCATCTAACATCCGCGAACTGTTTCGTTTTTCTCTCGATCCACGATCGGATTTTCCTCCACTCACACATTCTCATTCGCATCCCTATTTTTTTTAATAAGGAAGTTTTCAACTGTTATCATCTCCTTGTGATAGTTTTGTATTAATGTTTGAGTTGTCCAGGGAAAAAAGCAGAGATAATGAATCACATTTCTACCGTTTTCAACTACTTAAAATAAAACGATTTTCATTACATAAGTAAACAGTTGTTCAATAGTCTCTTGTGGGGAGTTTTACGGTATATTTTTGATTTGTGTAAAAATTAATAACGGGAAGAATTGTATTCTCTTTCATTTGCTCTCGGATATGTCAGTTAGTTTTGTGTATGCTTGTTACGATAAGATTAAGAAAAGTCAACGAAAACATAGAGAAAAATCAGTTCATCTATATGGCAAACTTCTTCTTCGTCATTCTGAATGTCTTAATTTGATATGTTTGAACAGTACAGCTGAACGACAGCTGGCATCTTTATATACCCTACAGCTTTCGACTCAAGTTTGGCTTTACACTTTAATAAGTAATGTTAGGTAGTACATAATTGGAATGTAGATATTTTGTGGGGGAGTTTTGATCCTTCTTGTTTGAGCAACTGTATCTATATCCATTCCAGGGGGGGAAATAAAGAGAGAAAATTATCTAATTGACAAATGATAAGGGTAACGAACATCTAGGAAGGCGTGGGAGTTAAATCAGTTTCGAACCGTAGCAGGCGTAGATCTCTGATTGTTTGTGCTAACGAGCGCACAAAAATAGAAATCGACGGAAGAACGAAAACAACGCGTTTTGTTGTTGTTGTTGTTATTGTTAATGATGACGTTGACGATTGTCATTTTGTGCGAAAACGCAAGTTCGTAAGCGAAACTTGAAATCTTTCGTTTTGTTTCCAGGGATTAGGTACAAAAAAAAGAAGATAAAACAGTAGGAAGATTGTGGTCCAGATGGTCAGGAAGATATGGCAGTTTGCATGTTTGTTTTTTTTGTATTGTCTACTTGGAATGGAGCGAAAAATAATTTCTATCCTCGTTTCTTTTTGGTTCAAAATCGTTAGTAACAGGAAACCTTCACGAGGAGCATTCTTAATTTCATTGTGTCTAATAATAAATTAACGCGAAAATCACATTAAAATCATTCAACTAACTAGGACTCTTGATTTGACCTTGCGCGGGAGAAATAAGAACGATAAAAATCGGTTATTCTACCTTTTGTTTCTTGATTGCATCACTCTGAATTACTTTCTTTATACACGGTGTTTGCTTCACCAAACTCCACCAAATCAGGTTGGCAAATTGTTGCTGTTTGTTTCGATCACCAAACCGTTGACATGGCGATCAAAGAAGTAGTGGAAACTCAAAGTTTACTAGGATCGTAATTCTGGAACTGCCACTTGTGTGCCTCATTCGACGAGTCGCAGTCTACCATGATAAGCTTCTGTTTGCTCTCGTTGATGGCGAGACACTTGTCCGAGGATCCGTGCCGCAGTAGGTTCGAGTCCGGTGTGTAGTTCCAATACTGATTGCCTTTGGAGCCGTGGCATGGATACAGTATCACATCCTGGCCGGCGTAGTCCAGGCAGGCCTCATCTCGACGGATTTCACCCGTTTTGCTCAGCATCCAGTACTTTTTGGCATGGGAAAAAGAACGAAGTTAGTAAGCCGTTGGTTCATTGCTACTACAGTTAGTTTGAATACTGAAAACTCAACAAAACACGCAATTATCAGTGACATCTGTCAGTACGGTGTGTGGAAATTGCAATCTGATACGTACTTGTGTGCTCATAACGTTTAGTGTGTGTGAACCAGCCTGTAAGTGTAAGGGCAATTTGGTAGTAGATTTGTGGTAAGTGTCCAATGTTTCTCTAATAAGAATGGTTTTTGTGACATGAACAGAGCAACGACAACAATTTCACTTCCACACAGACGGACACCAACAGACGTCACCGATTTTTGTATTACAGATAGAAGCATCGTCTACTTGGGAACTTAAAAACTAAAAAAGAACATATTTACAGGAATCTGTTACCAATCATCACCACAGTTGGCTTCCGACTTTACCGAGAAAAAAAAACTCGCTCTGCAAAAAGGGTAGTAGAAAGCGGTTATCAGTTTGTAAAATTTATACAGATGATTTGTTGCCTAATCCAAGGAACCCATTACCAGATTTGTTGCTGACGGTTTATTTTTGCTGTCCGCGTCACATCGAGGACATGCATTTTGAATCAATTTGTTGTCTTTCCGATGTCCTCGGTGAATGATGGGTCTATGTCGGTCTGTTGTCCAAAGGGTATGTACGAAATTGAAGGTAATTTGCTTCGTTAGGATTAGTACCAGCACCAAAATCAGCGACTACTTCGATGAGGGAAATATCACATATGGGTTATGGTTAGTAGCAGGGGCCTACCTTGATGGTGGCGAATGCTTGTTTATGTTGTGGATTGTGATATTCTAGAAGCTTTTTTTTTACAAGAATTTGATTCAAGCTCAATCCCAAAAAAATGCTCAAAAAGGAAGCAAGTTTACTGGAACCTACATTTTAATTTTGAATTTTTTTTATCTAAAATCAGCATTTACAAGAGCATGGAATGCATCAAACAAGATCATCTAGGCGGAGATATCCATTTTATAAAACTAATTTTAAAACTGATTACTGTGCCATTACTGACGTACGACTGAATTTATCAAATTTGTAATTGTTAGTACCAGTTCTACCATGGTAAATTAAGGCATGAATACTCATTTCTTAGATTAGCACCCTGCGCTTTGGTCAGAGAGCGTATAGGGCGTCGTTGTGCCAATTTGGTCGTGGCACATTTCGAGTATGAGAGAGTGATTGCAGTTTGCTCAAAAGTGCCTGAGTAAAATGCAAGTATTTTCGATGATTACCCGTAGTTGTTACAGTGAAGATATACACACATATTCTCGTTTATGTCTGGACGTGTTTGCCATACAGAAATATTTTTATTTGATTTTGTGTGGTGGATGGGTTTCGGGCGTGGACAGGCATATGGCCGATAATATTAAGTTTACGTTAGGATAACGTTGAAACATTGAGAAATGTATCGCTTCAGTTTAAGAAGCACTTCACTTCGCAACCGATGAACCATTCTGACGGCCCACATTGCCGTGCAGGCGCCGTGTGTTGGCAGGGTCCAATATTGGACAGTTTGACGTTTATAAAGTACCATCAGTTAAAACTGTATTTTTGAACTTTATGATGTTTCTTAGTAGATTATCATGTTGGTGTAAGCTGATTCAAAGAGTAAATGGTATTAACATTGAGCTGTCCATAGTTGGGCGTTGTTGAACTTCTGGTACTTGCACAACATTTCATCTGAATACCAAAGTAACCATATAATCACAAAATAGCTTTAGGTGTGGGTTCAGAGTGGTAGAATGTCACTGAGATATGGTTAGTTGGGTATTCAGATGAAACTATTACTTTAAAAAACTAATCCTGGTTGTATCTCTTTTTCGTTTTTTCGTTTGCATGTAACACTGTTTGATATTACTAACCGCACCGAGCCTTCATTCCGGGTGGTGAGCGAACCTGACGAAGAAGAAGAAGACCATAAACCCCTTCTCGGAACGAGTGTTTTGTTAGTGGACCTGGTCTGCTATTCAAGGTTGGACTCTGTGATGATAAGTATCACATAACAGGTAAAGTAGGCAGCACCATCTTTATCGAAATGTAAGTATTATTGACAATAATCATAACTAGATTATATACAATACAATAATACAATAAGTATTATTGATAATCATTATAACTAAATGAAACATAAATGCATATTCATCAGCACTCATTCTCTACCAATTCTGTTTTTCAATACCTTTTTCTCTCCTTTCTCTTATCCTTCATCTATGCATCTACGCTTCTATGTTAAGGATCACCTAAACCCTCATTCAATATTCGGCTGATTTCAATCGACTCGCATAAGTCATTATCTAAGAGCCATCTCATCTTTATCTATCTGATTGCTGCATGGAAGGTGTATAATTGGTCACCAAAATTACACTGGCGACCAGGCTCAATGCCCCCTCCAGCATGACACAATAACAATAACAATACTCATTTCTTAGATGAGCACGCCCCGCCCACTTTAAAGCCATGCACCCCCATTCAGAAACGGAATTTATGTATATCTACACGTACATACAATTTAGTTCCCTCAAACTGACATTGAGATTAAAACTTTAACCCTTAAATACATGATTTTTTATTTTGGAATGATTTTTTTTCTTGTGATATATATTGCGCTTACTATTAAAATGTTGTTTCACTATGTTTAAAGACAAACATAGGTATGTTGCCAATTGGCAACACTATGCATTTATGGGTTAAGTAAAAGTTGTCTGCATTCAGCTCATCAAAAATTGAGACGTAGTTCGTTACTGCCCGTAAAATCTGTAAAGATTTGTGAAATTCTCTAGACTTCCTCGAAGTGCTACATTATCTGGGTTGTCTTGAAGTTCACTGGAAGTCCCTAGAACTTCTTTAAAGCTACACAATTTTCCTGAAGTTAATGGAACTGCCATGAAATTCTTCCCAAGTTTTCGAAAAAATTGGTGGGGTTGTGAACAAGACACGACCGTATGGTTGACGTAGACTACGTTAAGCTGTTTAGTGAAATTCTCGTGCATTTATCTAGAAATTGGTTTTAAATACAGTAGAAGTAACCCATGATTTCGATCGTATAAACATATTTTGGATTTCTTACTGAGTAAAACTTGATTAAATTCAGGACTTTTAAAAATGCGAATAGGGAAGAGCGCTACTTCGTCGTAATCGCCCATTTCCGTTCTATCGAGCAGAAATCATCAATAATATCAATGATTTATATGAATAATAGGTTTGTTCCGATGCGTTAGTTCATTAGCTACGACATAAATCCTATTAGAGCGCATTGTATGCATATTTACGCTTATTGTTCTCAAAACAAAAGAAGCGCTCCTAGCGCATCCCCTTTTTCTCCGTTTATCCGTAGGACGAAGAAAATCTAATGGCGTTTCAATGCGTTTGGACGGAATTGAAACGCGTAGGACGAATTTAGATTTTTAATAATATCTCAACATTGTTTGACTCTTTATCAAATCCAATGGTACGTATGGAAAGGCGGATAAATTTAGAAGTTATCTTTGATGAAAACATTCCATGTTTTGTTCAAAAGCTTTCCAAAAAGCGTGGTAAAGTGCGAGATGTCCTTAGTAGGACGGAAATTAGATCAAAAACCCTACATATTCAGTTCCATTTTGTTTCTAAATTACAAATTACAAATTGGCTAGTTAAAAGTGACGGATGGAAAGTTATCGAATAATCCTGTTGTCCGACCGTGGTTATTTCCGACCGACTAGAAGTTAAATTTTTGCAACCGTGGCTGAGTTCTGTTTGAAAACCGATCGATCGAAGTCACCGGAATTTTCTAACATGGAAAATATCTTTCGATGTTACTTCTAACCAATTACGTAGCCATTTCGAGCTAGGGAGGGGCGAAAAAAAATTTACTATGGATAATTTGTCCGAATGCCATTTGACCGCATGTCATTTCACCGAAAGCCTTTGTGTTTCTGAGTTTAGAGAGGGACAGTTGCCCCCCCCCCCTCTGCCCCCATCTGGCTACGCTTATACTTCTAACCACGAGTTAAATTTAACTCGACAATTGGGACACAGCCCAACAAGTATTTGTGAAACGCGGGATCATTATCACATCACTCAGGAAAGGTCGATCCACTTCGGAGTGCTTGCACCATCGAGGCGACGGGGTTCGCTGCCAGGCCAGTGATCTCGTCTTATCCGTCGCGCAAGGTTCGGAGTTCAAACTTGTGAACGCTGCGGTTGACAAGAACCGCTACCTTCCTACTGCTGCTATCTTCTCCCACGCCGTCCGAAGCAACAATGAGTCGAACCACGACAGCAGCGCTGTTTTATAACTTTTCAGGTTCAATCAGAACGATGTGCAACCAAGTGGTACTCGATTATGATGACTGGGTTTGGGGAGAACGTTAATTTTATGAAAATAGTGATAAAAATATAACTTTTTATTTGTACATTTTCAACGGTGTTTGTATTGAAATTTTAAGAAGCATTTATTGTGACAGATTTGAGAGTTATTTCCTATCGATTGGTGTATTTGGATTTTTGTTTCATCTATAAATGACAAAGTTATAAGCGTTCAAAGCCTTACACCTTTTCGTGACGGTCGCAATTTTAGATTTTCGATTTAGCCCCAGTACCTTCCCGTAAGACGTAGTCTACGTCAAAAAACGTTGATGCTCATGGTATTTCCCTTGACATCTTTAAATTTCCTTGGATTTCTCTGGTCTTTTCTAAACATCCCTCAAACATCCCAAACGATTTTTTTTTTCTTTAATTTTAGGAACGTCCTGAAGTGTTAAGCATTTCCATGATGTTCTCAAAACTTACATAAAATGTTTTTTATTTCCTTGAAATCAATGGAACTGTTCTAAGTGTCGGATTTCTCAAAATTTCACTTCCACAGTCGCGAGATACAACTACAATCCGTCTAACAACTGAAACTCGCTCTATGATCAGGAGACGCGGAGACTCAACTGATTCGTTCTTTTCTCCTCTTTCTTTCGAACGAGAGCTATTCATTCCTAATC